GAACTCAGGGACACACACTAGACAGAGAGATACAGTGATTTCAAAGTTAGCACCGTCTCTTTAGTCTGTGTCCCTCTGCTTTTTAACTTTTCCCACAATGCATCCTCAAGGCAGTTCAACTTGTGCCCTGTAAGAATCAGACCAGGATAGTTATTCTAGCAGTGGTTTTCTAGCGATTCCTCCAGCGACAGCTGTGGCAAGTGTCTGTCTACGATGCTGTGTGCACAGCGGAGGAGCATCCACGATGCTTTGGACATGTGCCAGTACAGTCCACTGACGGTGGCTGACTGAAGAGAGAGGAATCGTAAATGAACCATAGTAAAAACAGCTTTCGTTCCCCCATTTATTCCGGGCATTTTCCTCAACGGATTGAAAAAACAAACACATTCGACCTTGGATTTCTTAATTAAACTATTAATTAAGGAGCCACATCATTGTGTACTTTGTTCCTGGGAAACAACAATATTCTTTTGTCATTGGCACACTAAGTTTAATTGTACCAAGTGAGGTGCCAATGATAACAACTATAGTTCTGCTGTAACGAATAAGCTACCAGGAGTAGACACGCAGTATAAGTTAGCCTGTAGGCTATTAAGTGCAAATTATATCAATTTGCTACATTTGATTACAACCTAAGAAAAAACATCAGCTCCATGCACAGCCATCGTAGCCCATTCCAAAGATAATTTGCATACACACTCTGTCTAATCGCACTTACTCATTTGGTCACATCAAAAACTTCTCCAGTGTTTCAGATAGTCGAGTTTCCCGTACAAACAAACATTTGTGTTGCCACTTTTAGTAGGGAAACTCGAACATTCTGGTACATTTTATAGAAGATTCTGACATTGCTGCTCAGCTAAATGTAATGCTGTGGGCAGCAACTGCCAACCTTTATCTTTTAATATGCATAATATTTACATTAGCCGAGAAAAAGTACTTACGGTTCAATCGGAAGCCAGACGACACAACTGTCTTAGACAGGTGAGGGACGGGTGTGCCGCGGTTCTGTGGGCGGAGCCGACATTTTTTTCTTTGGTTGCAACGGAGCATATTAAGTTTCCCATGTTTCATGTCAAGACCACATAACGCACGTCAAAGCGTGTGTCAAATCAAGCGGTCGTTGACGGTTTTCACGCCACGATCAAGCGCAATTTCCTGGTGCTGTTAATCCTAGCTTACGTTAAACGTACTGGTAAGTGTGAAGAAAACACTCCATTAGAAGGAGTTCAGTTACTGTGGCACACCAGGACACCTCGGTATTCTGTGAGCTGAACACCTACAACAATATTCTTATGCAACAAGGTTGGAGCGGCTTCCTGACAGCCAATGGAACGCAATGGGTTATTACATCACAGCAAAAACACAGTGGGTCATACCACTGCAGAAAAAAAAAGGGCCTTTGTCTAATGTTAGTATGACACGTACCCACGGTAGCATGATAGACCGTTTTAATACGACAGACATGACAAAGCAGCTGCAACCAGTATGTTGTAACATCCTTTCCCCAGCCACTGCCATGCACAGCCAGCGTGCTCATGCATATCCATGTCATGCTAATCACGTCAAGAGAAGGCTCGCCATGCGAATATGTGCATGTACTCAACAAACAAGACTCGCTGATAAAAGCTGAAATTGTTACAGTGCCTAGATGCTTGCAAATTAAACTAATGACTGTTCCTTGGATGTATCACACAAGGGCAATTCCCAAACGTGCGTGTTGGAGAATGTACTATTTGTAAAACACTAAAAAGTGGGGTGGCCACTGTACACAGTTTAAACCTCGCTGCCCAGGAAGGCCCATTAACACTAATGATTTCTGAAGATCTGGATAGCCAACAGTAAGAAACCAAAAGCTATCTGTTCGGACCATATCTTGAAGGCGCATTACATGATGACATCTGCAAGGCCACTTACATGCTGGTACACTCGTGTTGTATGTGCTCCCAATAGGGAGCTTTTGATGCAAAACAACTGAAACATGAAAGAATATGTCTTGATAATTACGTACTGTGTATGTCTCCCTGTATTTAATGAGCCAGGCTGGTCATTCACGCGAAAACTCTTAACCAAGCATGTCTGCCGGATCAGTTAGATGCGCTGCTGGAAGTGACAGGAAACTGATGAACCGAAGCTTCACTTACGAGTCACAGCAAAAACAATTTGTTTGTGCTGGACAATATTTTTTTTATAAATTCTGCTCGATGCAGTGAGGATGATGACATGCTACTAATGAGGAACCAATCACACACAAAAAAAACTTGCATCTCTGCCTCCACCGGTTGTGTTCCTGTTAAAAAATGGTGAACATTGTATCGCTTCTTGCTGGTTATGTTTTTCGTAACTTAGAATGTCTTGCACTCAATGCATATAGAAAATTTCAAGAATATTATTATTTCTACAATGACAGACTGATCTAGTCATACTGCACCTTTGACATGAATTGTGTTCTGTGTCGTCAAATGTATGAGTGCCTAAAATTACTTTGAAATCACTCTAGCTCCTAAAATTTGCAAAGTTAGGCCTTTGAAAATCATTGATACATCAGTGTTGCCATTTGGGTATTCATATGAGTAGACTCAAGATATAGTAGTCCGATAGGTAATTAACAAAGCTGTGTTAATTAATATTGCAATTATTGATCTTAGGAGGCAAAAAGCAAATGAGAAGTCTAAAGCTCTCTCCAAAGAGAGCTCGGGGAATAAATTTTCATTATTTTTATTATGTAAGTTCCTGTAAGCGATGCACCAGCAAATGCTTCCCACTCGAAGGCCTACCTCCTAAAAGCAAAAATGGCAAAAAGAAAGCCTGACTACAACATTACTATCACCAACTTCCATTTCATTACAACAGCAGAGGCCCCACGAAGAAAATGCCTTGCGTTTCACCTTCACCATCTTTGCTTCAGAGGCAGTGAAACGCCTAAATGACGGTCATACGCTAAATCTGCTCAGTCACTAAGCCGTGCATAGTTTCTGCAGTGCAGGGAAAGTTTGGCAACAGGCGTTGCACCAGCATTGACATTAGCGTCGCTGAAAGAAACCTGATAGATGCGACTTGGTGTTCCGCCAGGCTTGTGTTCAGCAATGGATAAACATGACCGTCACAGTGTGCAGCAAGTATGTTAATAAGAAACACATCTAAGCCAGTTCATTTTATCAGGTTTTTTAAGATATGTCTGCACTTTGGTGAAAGGAAGGTAGCAGAAGAGGCAATCAATGGCCAAAGCATCTATTTTTTAATTTTACGCTGAAAACGGGCCACTAGAAGCAATGATGCGACTCTCTCATTTTCGAAGTGTACTTTTTCGTATTCCTGCATCAGTCCATGGCAGCTGTACTGTTTTTAACTCCTTAACGTCAGGCAAACTTGCTTTATAGTTAACTTGCCTTGGTTAAAGCACTACCAATATTTAAGACATAACCAGAAAATCGGTGTGGAGTGTTTCAAGAACCCGATGATCGGCAAGTCGGTGATCCACACTAACTGCGACTCTCTCGTGTTCTTTTCTCTTTACTGCGCTTTTTACGGGGTGTAGTTTTTCGCCAAAAATTGTCGAGCCGCTTACTACCACTTGTCAATCTTTCCCAACTAGTCAAGTACTTTCAACATGACAAGACCAACATTTTTGGTATCTAAAAATCATACCAGTCTATCCATCCATCTCAACAAAAACATACTCCTACGGAATTCTTCATTTTCAGAAAGAACAGACATAGAGCAACTTACGAGATAATTTCTTTTCTTTATTTTTTGAAATACGAATGTATGCATTGCCATAAGCTCTCAAAAATATACTTTACTGAAGCAGTTAAGAAAGGAATAGTTTAGAAGTAGAGGAGTGGTCTGGAAAAGAGTGTTCTCAGTTCGAAAAAAAATCTTGCAGGAAAGCAGGATGGCAGATGTTTAGCAAGTCAACTACTTGCCCTGTATTACCAATGCTTTAGCTGGGTGGTTGACCACCAATTGAAATTTTACATTAAGCGTATAGCCTGCCTAAAGATATAAAAAATTAGTGCACCATTTGTCCAGAACCATGCCATGGGGTTCTCACATTCTGGACATTTGAACAAAAACAAAAAGGTCCATATAGCGTGCACAGTGTCAGTTTTTTTGATAATGTCATGCTCTAACCCCCCCCCCCCCTTCCCCTACTGTTATGGCACGCCGTGCTTTCCCACATGTACTTGATCAGGTGTTCACTTTATGTTGTGCCCAAAGAAATGCTAACTATGGAGTGCTACTGCATGACCAATGCGGCAAATTCAAAAGACGTTGCAGTTGGGTTTTTAGCGCAGTTTTGCAAGTGTTTCTTTTCTGAATACTCTGCCGTGTGACTTGGTGCGTTGCTAAGTGAGGCAATGTGGCACAAAACAAGATAACTTTAAAAAAACGAATAGGAAGCAAAGACAAAAAGAGTGGCGTAGGGCAGTCTTTCGTCTTCTTTTTAATTGAAGCCTTCGTAACTCTGAAGATTTCGGTGGCATCCGGAAAAAAAAAAAAAAAAGCTGGCACTAGTTAAGTGTACAGTAATGCGGCCCTTGAAAGTACGTCGGTCACGCCATGTTCCAATGACTGATGCTCTCCCAACCGTGGGCTTGTCGGCAATCGGCAGTTTCTGACAAGGAAATCTGATCTGTTATCAACATGACTGGTTATGTCATGTTGCCATGTACTATTGTTGCCTGCATATGAATGCATGACCATCGTCATTCCTGAAGCAACTGAGGCATTGCACTGCTAAGTGGGTGAATGAAGGCCCCATTCCCAGCATGTAATAAGGAAACAGCTAAGAGGGGCCACTGCGCAATGCGATAGAAAATGAGGTAAGTACTGCATCACGCACGCACACATTAAGCTTCTCCCGTCTCCATTTTCCAGATAGGGCAAGGGCACCTGAATATTTACAACCAAACGTTTATCTTGCGCTGTGCCGCACTACTTTAAATTACCCTTTCTAAAGTCGCAACTGCAAGACAACAAATAAAATGCGGCCCTACCTTGTTCTCACTGTCCTCCGTGACGCTATAGGTGAGGTCCGTCTCTTCAAAGCCCGTGGCGCTCATACGCTGGTCCGGTCCCGGCCCCGGCGGACCTGACGTGCCCTGAGGCGTGTCGGGCGAGTTGAGGCACGTCTGGATTAAGGCCTTGCCGGCGTCGGACGTGATCATGGGCTGTAGCTTGCGCGTGGCAAACGTGTACACGTGGCCCGTCTCCGACGCAACAAGCAACATCACCTGGGTTCCTGTCAGCGTGGACAGTTCATACGCCTGAAACACACAGACGGCAGTGGTGGTTCACTACAGAGGCCCTCAAGTACTTCACACATCAGGGCACCTGTCAGGCGTTCTTTTGTGATAGCAAGGATAGGACTACTGCACAAGAATTTTCCTCATCGTTGTACTGCTTTGAACATACAGTTACGTAAAAGGAAAACTGGCGCAACTGATACTGCCACGCGCATATGGAAATGCTAAGTTGGTCGGATTCAGATTGTCATCGTTCATGAAGAGCACGCACACCTCAGAGAGGCATCTGGTTTCAACAGGTTCTTTTCATCAGAACGATTGATTTCGTACTGAAGCAGCATGTCCTAATCTAGTTCTTTTTCAGTATTACACAGAAGAAATTGTTATTCTACTCAGAGAACTTCTGCTTCAAGATGCACTTTTATGAGACTTACAAAGTAGCGAGTGGCCGCTTAACGCTGGATGATGGACGACAAAACCAGCATTTGCTCTGCGACAGCTTGTCGTCGTTTTCTTTTCTTTCGTCGTTCGGTCAAGCCATACAGAGAGTGAACTTCAATTCCAGAATATAATATGGCTGTACGAGATTCGTTTATGAAGGCTCTGTTTTAGAAAACGTGATTTGTCCAGCAATATCCCCCTTTTTAGCCCAAGGCACACTCAACATCAGCCAACACAAGCCTCACAGACTCATATACAGTCATTCCCTTGCCAAGACAGCGTCCCTTAAGAAATTCGCAAAGATGGTGGCACTGGATTTCATTCTAAGTATTATGTGAAAAGCTCCACGGTTCTGAACATATCTGCACATAGACCATTTTCAATGAAAGCTCTAAGGTCACCAACATGCACTTTGTTCTGCTATTCTCAATATGAATATTCCCATGAAGATAGCACTACTGAGGCAACCATGCCAGCCCTTGCACCCCTGTGCAACGATCCAGGAAGAAAGTGTAATGAAAATGTGTATATATACATATTCAAATCTGATGATAGTATATTAAATCTGTAGTTCCAACACAAAAACATAACACAGACCTAAACACGTGGAATAAATCACTTCTAAAAAGTCAATGTGTTGAGACATTTGATGTGTTTTCACAATTTTGATACTTTCCCTGCTAGCCTTATCTTCTGCACTATGTTTATGCTACCACTTAGCTTATAACAGCACACACCAAAACATGGACAATACGTACACACACAGACAATGACACAAGCACTAAACAAGAGTGCATGAGGCAGACATGACAAGTGAAGAATTATAAGGTCATCATCATCAGCCTGACTACGTCCACTGCAGGACAAAGGCCTCTCCCGTGTTCCGCCAGTTAATCCGGCCCTGTGCTTGCTGCTGCCAATTTATACCAGCAAACTTATTAATCTCATCTGCCCACCTAACCTTTTGTCTCCCCCTAACCCACTTGCCTTCTCCGGGAATCGAGTTAGTTACCCTTAACGACCAACAGTTATCCTGTCTACGCACTACATGCCCGGCCCATGTCCATTTCTTCTTGATGAACCGAACAGTCCACCAGTAAGTCAATCTACACTACTAGTACTACTGGTGCTCCCGATTCCACTAACGCTGCCAGACATTATCTCGTAGCTGCCAAACTACTTTTTTTTTGTGGTTGCCTTGCATGCTGTATCACACTAACATTTCATACTTGCGTATGGCTTAGGACACTACACGAGTGGTCTAACCACAGCGGTGTTATCACTGCCAATACCTTTCTGTTGGTGCAAAATTACTAGTTTTTCCTCTTATACATCTTTTTACATATGCCATTATCGTATAAACTGCATAGAGACAACAGATGCAAACACACTCTATTAGTATCATTATTGTTACATCATTGATTGATTGATTTGTAGGGTTTAATGTCCCAAAACCACCATATGATTATGAGAGACGCCGTAGTGGTGGGCTCCGGAAATTTTGACCACCTGGGGTTCTTTAACGTGCACCCAAATCTGAGCACACGGGCCTACAACATTTCCGCCTCCATCGGAAATGCAGCCGCCGCTGTTACATCATTGAATTCAACCAACCACACCATGCCGCTGTAAATACCCCTCATATTTAAACACAGGCATTCAAACAAAGATGGTGAGCAACAGTCAGTTAGAGAGAGAGAGGTCTGCGTCTAGCACGGTTCATAGACACCCCTGAGTGCCGTTTTTCTATGGGCATCCATCGCTTGTTCTGGCATACTGATTGAAGACAACCGTATTATTGCATACCCTTGCTTGCTCTGTGATCCACATTTTTTTTCTCTCAGGAGGTGTGCACCATTTTTCATTATATCACTTTTTGCACAGCTTATAACTTCTTCGCCAACTCCCCAAGTTTCTGCCCCTAGTGTCAATAACAGCAGAATAGAGAGATCATACACTTTTATTTTAATAATAGCATGTAAACTGCTTGTCATGTGCTCCTCGTGTACTAAGACCCATTTGTAGTCTGCAGATATTTCTCTGACGCCAGTCTCATGTAATTGATTTGGCCTTAGACATTATCTTAAGTCCCTCTCTTATGACCATTAGTCAAAAAATTTGTATTCTCTAGCCAGGCTGTTGTCGCAAGCCAACCAAAGTTTATTTATCATCTACACTTAACTGGAACTTTTATTTTATGTGAGTATGCAGTGGTGATTCAGAACTATGTATCAGTAAATGGACAATCGTTAGTGTTTTTGAAACCATTGACAATATTATTATCGACAGTGCAATCAATAGTGCCATCAGGAGTATTGCTGTAAATAGTAATATCAATAGTGCTGTGAATAATTGTGTTATTACTTGGCGCTAACATTGCGAAGTCGTCTGCGACAGCCTACTATCTATAGTACTCTGTTCGCTTAATTTATGAGCAATCCTTGGTGAAAGAGATTATCGCAAACAAAATGCCAGAATACGTTCGTAACTAAATTCATATTCTTAATCAACTCTACGCGTTACAATTAAAGACGTAGCTACTGATATTTTTATTTTGAAATCACAAATATACATAAATTTGAAGCCGCACAGTTCTACCACATGTAATGACTTCCTTTCTGCTCAAGCTGAAAAGTTCAGCTTAATTGTCATGTCTCAGCCAATCATTCTGCTGAAGCAATGCAAGCATGTCAACTTTCCTGCCCTTATGCCTGCTTCTCCTGCTCCACCATAGAGTACCACACACTTGGCGGATCAACTTTATGCTGCAATCAGTTCGTGCAGTTGATTTAAAACTGTCTATAGTACTACGAAACTTACTATCAATAATGCTTTAGATTTTGGTAGTTTTTTTTCTACCACCAATAGGGACTTAACTATCGATAGTACCATCGATAGTGTGCAGTTCTACACCAAGTTACAAGCCGTCTTGTTTGGCGTCAAAGAACTATGAGTCGCCCAAAGGTTGTAGTGCTTTGTAACTTTTGAAAAGTGTATATCAAGTTTGCAGATTGCAGTGCTGGTATTGAAATGACTGTTCATGGCACGCTCGCTTTCATCTTAACGCTTATTCTTCATGATATTTAAATAAGCATGTACAGCACCTACAAAAGCACCAGAGAATAAAACCTTCAGGCACCACCCATCAACGAACTGCTGCCAACACATTAAATCCGAACAAGAAAGTACAAAGCAAGGCATCTCTCGAATATAATGATCTGGGAGTGTTTCCTGTCCGTTTCAGACTTCTAGAGGCGCATATCAGTTGCTTTTCGAAACCTCACTCGTCGAATCGGCCACACGAGATTAACCGAAAGTTTGAACGTAGGTCTAGTTGGTGCACCGTACATTATTTGTTTCCTGGAGAGAAAAATTAGAATTATGAAAAAAAAAAGACGGGTGATGGGTTGTGTCCTTCTTTTGTCATGCATATTCTTATCATTGGGAAACGTTGATACGGCTAGTTGAAGGGTTCGATAAATCCGCTTTCTCTATAACGCTTCATGGCACACGGGGCTACCAGCTAAGCGTCCCGTTTTCAAGGAGGCATTAAGCCAGTCATCACGACCGTCCGTGAGTGGGAGGGGCAGAGCGGCCGCAATTCGCTTTCTCCGCTTGGGCGACGTTCGCATATCTTGCACGGCTGTCACAACAAGCACACTCCACTGAAGCCCGATCGGGATCGAACTTAGTCGACCGCGATTGGTTCGTTTCCGCATCTAGCGAGCCAATCACGATCAACAAACTCGATTCCGGCCGCGTGTCAGTACACGGGCACTTTCGATCGGGACCGATAATAGGTCGAACTCTTCGATCCCTTCCGCATTTAAGGGCGCAAATGAGCCAATCGAAACTCGATAGCGGTCGATGCTACGTCGCGTGTGACGCCCGTGCTAATTTCGGGTCGGATCCCACTGTGACTGTCGCCGGACACGAAAACCAGCTCCTCGTAGTAGTACGAGTAATTGAAAAGGGGGCCAGTCGGCTACTACTCCGGCACGGCCGACGCTTGGGCGTGGGCAGTGTGTGTGGGCAACAGTCCATGCCGGCCCTTCTCAATCGAGGATAGCGAGCTGCTCGGGCTCTCATCGGAACAAATTAAAGCTCACGACGCGCGCGGGCACCGATTTTCTCCACACGTCGTGCCCCTCACCTCCCCACGCTTTTTTTCTAAAGTCATTTGTCACGCGTAATGCCGTGCCAGCCGGAGCGAAACACCGCTCGCTAGCTGTGCTATGCGAAAGTTAAAAAAGAAAAAAAAGAAATACAGGCGGAGGCCCTCGCAACTAGCAAAATGCCCCCCCTTCCCCCCAGACCTTTTCTTTCTCCCTACTCGACAAACGACGGGGGAGGATTGCGGAGGAGGAGAGTGGTGATTGCACGTGCGCCGTCAAACCTCGATCGGCCAAATACCGGGCTGCGACCGCAGGCGTAAACACCCGAAATCGACGTCAGACGTGAGCAATAGCCGGTCTGCACACTAAACTAACGGATCGGCGAGGACCTAGAGTCCGTATTCGCCGGGAAAACGGGCAGATGGTGTCCCCCGCGGCCGTTTCATCAAAGGGCCGTAGTCACTCACTTTCGTGCAAGCACATCGAAAGCTGCGTTTTTTTTTTTTTTTTCAAACCTCTTACCTTCTTCATGATACCCGTCTTCCGCTTGCTGAAAGTCGTGTACCGGCGTAGCTTGTTGTCGATAAATTCCATCTTGATTTTAACACGTCCCTTGGTTTTCTTGCCATTCGGAGGCGGCACCTTCTTGGGCTGCTGCTGCTGCTGTTGGTGGTGTTGCTGTTGCAAAAGCACGTCGTCCAGCGTCATACCGGCGTCGATGTCAGATTGCTTCTTCTCGGCCGAATTACCGACGATATCGTCCAAAGTCGCGGCCGTGTCGCCTACTAGTTGCGCCTCGAAAGGCGTGTATGCCATCGCTTTGAGTTCCTCATGATGGCTCGATGTCTGCATCATAGCGAGGTGACGAAAACTTACTCGCCGGAAAGGGATCGGAAGTGTTTTTGTCAGTGATCGAGAAACCGTCCACGCTTGTGGTCCATGTCTGCGGACTCGCTAGAGCTCCACACCCGCTGCCGTTACGAAAATCCGGGGCACCCACACCGATCAGGCTTTTTCCACAACACCCTCGGGTCGCGCTTGAACACACGCACACCACCGCAACCACTACTCACAACGACCACGCAAAAGCCGCTCGGTTCCTTCGCACTGACGATGGGGATTCTCAGTTTTTCGTCTTGATGTGGCTTGCCGCAGAGTTGACGCCGCGTGCCGTTACTTGTTCGCGAGATATATTACAGAAAAAATAAATAGGCATCAACTAAGACGGTTAATCCGAGACGACAGGCGCGTCGACATCGGATCGGCACAAGGAAACGACTCTCGGCGCACTTGCGCGCCGTCGAATGGGCGTGGGGGGGGGGGGGGGGCGAACCTTGGAACGCACGCAGCTCGCGTATCCCTCCGCGAATAAAAATAGTCCGGCACATGGGACGTATTTGGCGTTCCAGAGCTACATACGAGAAAAGTTCGCGAAAACTGCCGTTCCTGATGGCGCTTATGGTCGAGAACGCCTGCACCTACCCACATTCCGCCGTGATTTGCGGCGGGAAAGACGTCAATTTACGGCTAGCGGAGGTGCGTCCGTGGAGGAGATCACCTGTCGACGAGGGTTTGCCATAAATGGGAATGACCGTCGCCATATATGGAACCTCTTGCCAAATATGGAATTGGGACTAAACTTGAAAAGTCCTGTTGCCCGCTTTTCTCTCCTACATCCTAAGAGCGCACCCGCACGAAGTTTGCGCTTCACTGCGAAGTGGCCGTGGAGAGATTTTGTTGCCGCGCAATATTAAAGCCGAATGGCCTCCATTTTCTGCGACAATTTATCATTTGCCGCTGCAGACAAAAAAATGTTATCGTAGCATGCACTGGGAGCGCAATGCACACGTGCGGAGCCTGGTTTTGGCAGTTTTGCATTTTTTTATTTCTTAGTTTCTTTTTTTTTCATTTTCTCGAATTTTTGTGAGTCTTTTTGTCTGAGTTTATATTTATTTATTTCCTTCTGCCCACTTCTTTCTTTTCTTTCCAATTCTTTTCCATCCCCGTACTTCCTGCTTCCTCTTTGCTCCTATATTTTTCTCTCACTTTCATTTTGTTCCTCTCCTTCGTACACTTTCTGCCGTTCACTCTCTTATTTCTCTCTTCATGCGTTGGTTAAACTCTCCCCTTCTCACCACCACTTCCCTTTCTCAACCTTTTGCTATAAAATACTCATAATTCATAAACAAATCCTTATAAGAAGCATTCCCTCCAGTGCCGAGACTGCGCATTCGGTCCGAAATCCAATGTGAATGCGTTTCGGGAAATCATTTGACTGAAAACATCATTTTCATCGAATGGCATTACTTTCCCAGACTGACAGCAAACAAATGACATTACACATGAATGACATTTGCTGTAAATAACATTAGATTTGCCGTGTGATAGGCTGTTGCATGTAACTGCACGTAAAGTTGCACGTGCGACTTGAAGGGTTTCCCTCTATGCATGGCTGGTGCAGAACCATGGCTACAGCTGCAGCCACACATAGTCGTACTGTGCTCGATCCACATCCCCTTCCCGTAGCTTCAGTCATCGCAGCTATGACGAGTTCAGGCAAATAAGGTGACAGACTAGGTCAACAAAACAACACAGTATTGCTATGTTAGCAAAAATGCATAAATGTTTTTTATGCATAAAAGTGGGATCGTTTGCTCTATGAAGGAAACATAAGGGTGAGACTTAAGAGTGTGCAATTATTCGAAAATTTTGAATAACGAATTGAATAGCGTTATATTCTAATCGAATAAAACACATTCGAAACACTGAATATTTTTTCATTAGTTTCCAAATAATCAGCACCGGCGGGAGAACCCAAAGACAGCGAGACATCAAAAAGTTGAAGGCGACTCTTCTTTTAATCCCTAAAGTGACTTGCACCCAGCACAATTTTTTATTAGAATACTAACACTATGTATTTATTGCTGGAAGAACGTGTTTTTTTCTGAAAACTCCACCTTTGCTCACTTTTCACTATGCTGAAGCTGTACCGCATTAATCAACTACTGTCTTCATCTTATAATAACTAAAGGTGGGGACTACGACTGCTTGCAGTTTCATGACTAACAACAGATGCCAATGTTGAGTTTTTAATGCAACAAATGTCTGCGCCTTCTACCTACTACCTCCTCAATGTTTCTCTATACAGCTGCAAATCTTGCTTAGCTTATTGCTAGCAGCTTTCTTTAGCCTGTAGAATATGGAAAGACTGTATGAAATAATCATGACTGTATTTTCGTTGCTTTTGGTCTTTGCGATTATGTTTGAATGGAAAGACATTATTAATTGCCCAACAGATTAATGGCCTGAGCTCAGGTCTCCCATGTCGGGACGTCAAGGCCTTGCCTCTCCGCCGTTTCATGGACCTGCTGGACTGCCCAGAGTTGGTGGGTGAGCTTGGAGCTCTTTGGAGCGGCTGACGAAAGAACATCGGGACTCATACATTTTGCTCTAGCCTCGCATTCCCTGAGCATGTGTGTTAGTGTAGCTGTGTGTGTGTGTCTGGCAAACATTACAGATGCTGGTGCTATAAATCTCAGGCTATATTCAGTGATATAGCAGTGGATTAGGATAAGTAGACGTTTGCAGCTGTCGCCAGGTAACTGCTTGGGCTCTGCATTAATTGCCACGAGGCAGAGGATAGCATCGCGCCATGTAGATGTTTGGACTCCAGATGGACGATTTGAATTGTTTAGCAACAGTGGCTATGGCAACGCAAGAAGAACATACTTTTAACCGACACATATGTCATTTTGTATGAGCATAAGAATATTCAAAAGGCATGACATGGCAGTTTTGTTTTAGATGCGAAGCAGCTTAGGGTAAACCTCAGTCCGGTGTGTGGCGTGACCACCCTTACTGCGCATGCCCGTCCACTCCCCTTCTCTCACCCCGCAAAACCGCAGCAGGCAGCGTCTGCTAGCAAGTTTCTTGATTGAAAAAATTGACTTCTCATGCTGCACTGCTGTTCACTGGCCATCTCGTATGCAAAGGCACTGGATCTCGACGCCCAAGATAGTGCTGATGGGAGATTTATCCTGCGCGTTGTTGAACAATAAGCATTCGCCGTTTGCCCATTAACTAAATGTGGACTACGGGCCTCTGTGTCCAGTCGGAGTTGTCCGTCTCTCATTGCCCATTAGCAGCGATTGCCATGTTCCAGTAGAAAACAACGGTCTATCACTGTGTGCTTTGCGCTTCCCCAGGTTTCTACCCAGCCGCGATGAGCGCCAGCATGAATGGTGCCGCCAGAGTAAGCATTAGTGCCCGTTTCTTTGCATCTCATGGTTCCCTTTAGTGGGAGATAGTGTAACTTTTTTAACAACCATAGAATGCTTCAGTGAGAAGTTGGAACGGTTTTGAAGGCCTAGGGGAGTACAGCCAGCACACTTGGTTCTTCTGAAATGTTAAAGTTCCCCCTCCCAAGTAACACTTGGCATCTGTGTTGTCTTGAACTCTTCTCCTGTGTCCATGTTCACACATCTCACACACCATGAAAATAGGATGAATACTTACCAACTATCTAAGCATTTTGCTTTTTGTAACCAATAACCCTGGGCGACGACAACGTCGAATATGTCGAGACTTGTGGAACTGCAGGTGTTACGACCAATATATGCTGAACGTAAGTCTTTATAAACAGAACGACACGAATGTACTTGCGTAGCAGAAATATAATGCCAGTAATACTATAGAAAGAAAATGTTGAAGTTTAAGTAGAGTTTTTAGGTCTGTACCGGAAATCAAGAGGTAAAACTGAAGAAACACCCAGTATCAATAAATGGTAACATGAAAATTATATTAACAGCTCTGTATTATTGTAACCAAACGAGGCCCTCTAACCCTTATCTTGTTTCGGTTCGTTCGTAGTTGGTAGGATACTGGGGACATAAACAGTAGAAGTGCGGGTGGTGTAGCTACATAGTGGGGCACAGCTAAAACACGCAAACATGGTCATAACTGCTATAGCAAGGCACATATGCGCCTTCGCTGCTGGCGCACTTTTACGGAAGTGGCATAGTCCTAGAGATGCTGCTTCTTCAAACATTTTCTGGCAAGGGCCCTGAATAAAAAAAATTGGCCCCGTATCTGCATGTAATCTGCAAATGTCGTCGAAAGACGAGTCTTGCATTTGGAGAGAGTGAACAAGACATTTATTTGATGTTCTGCGCAAGAAAATCGGTGAATGGTATTCTGGAGGCGCTGCGTTAGAGTACCTCGAGCATGCAGCGGAGGCGAACGAGCCAATCAAGTCATGTCACACGAGAGACATGAGCGCCATCTGGCAGTTTTCTTTGGAAAACGAAGCGCGTGGCCCTGAGACAGGCGTGCGCGCCCGTCTCAAAGGTGATAAGGTGTATAACGCAAGGCGACGTGTAGGTGCCACCACCATGTCGTCTTAGCAAAGCGTTGGAAACACTCGCTTCTTCATGCAAGCGTTGCATGGTCAGCACAGCGTGGTAAACGCTATATCCTTAGAATTACTTCATCATCATCATCATCAGCCTGACTACGTCCACTGCAGGACAAAGCCCTCTCCCATCTTCCGCCAGTTAACCCGGTCCTATGCTTGCTGCTTCCAGTTTATACCCGCAAACTTCTTAATCTCATCTGCCCACCTAACCTTCTGTCTCCCCCTAGCCCACTTCCCTTCTCTGGGAATCTAGTTAGTTACCCTTAATGACCAGCGGTTATCCTGTCTACGCGCTACATGCCCGGTCCATGTCCATTTCCTCTTCTTTATTTCAACTATGATATCCTTAACCCCCATTTGTCCCCTAATCCACTCTGCTCTCTTCTTGTCTCTTAAGGTTACACCTACCATTTTCCTTTCCATCGCTCGCTGCGTCGTCCTCAATTTAAGCTGAACCCTCTTTGTAAGTCTCCAGGTTTCTGCTCCGTAGCTAAGTACCGGCAAGATACAGCTGTTATATACCTTCCTCTAGAGGGATAGTGGCAATCTACCTGTCATAATTTGAGAGTGCTTGCCGAATGTGCTCCACCCCATTCTTATTCTTCTAGTTACTTCAATCTCGTGGTTAGACTCTGCAGTTATTACCTGCCCTAAGTAGACATAGTCTTTTACAACTTCAAGTGCACTATTACCTATCTAGTAGCGCTGCTCCTTTCCGAGGTTGTTGTACATTACTTTCGTTTTCTGCAGATTAATTTTAGAATGACTTAAGTATGCCTTTTATAGTAGGAGACGCACATGCAGAATATTGACGTGTTGTTATGGTGCCTCAGATATGTGCAATGATTGCTTTTTAATTGACAATTGCACATGCATGAACGCTCAACCTTGAGCAACATAGGTGGGCGCTGCGGATGGGGTCGGCTGTTCGGGGTATCAGCGGGTGCTGTTTAAAGTACCCGGTTTGCGATAAGGGTGGACAAACAGACAAATGTACAGACAGACAGACCAATGTTTTTGCGTCGAAGGTCCCCAAGCAAGACTATCCTCTTCAAAACTACAATGTTTGCGGCTGTGATATAAGTGTTATGAGATGCGTCTTATCTGCTTCTACAAACCCAGTATTCTATTAACACCTTTCTGTGCACATGATGACAATAACACAAGCTAAAATCTAAGCACTTATGCATCTCTCCCTCACTTAGTGTGACCACTGACCAGAAATGAAACCTCAAACACTGTGCTTGACCAAACGAATACTCGGTGGGCATGTACTGTACACACAGATTGAAACGCAACATTTTAAAAAATGAACACTGCTATGAGCGATGTCGCTGCAAGTATCGCTGCTAAAGGTAATGCTGGCTCTGATGTCAATGTTAGAATCGAAATCGCACTGATACGACATGAACTGCACACTGTGGAAACGAAAATGCGGGCATTACTTAGCCTTAAACTTTTGTGTTTGAATCCATGTGGTATTGTGCACAGAAAACTGCATCATATAGGCAGAGATGATGACAGCGACGGATCATCGCGAGATCTCGCTACACAAGACGAGTTCTTGTTTTTTTCACCCTTTAGTAGACTGCTTAGACTTGGTGTGGCTACACAGTGGCAGAGTTCAGCCAATGCGCCATTCTGGGCGAAGACCGAAAAGAAAAGGAGTTCAATCGATGCAAAAATTAATGCGCCTCATTTCTTTATTAGCTTCACTAGAGGCTACACCCAACTTGTTTCTTGCAGTGCTGTTAGTGGTGGTGGTGCTCTGAAAATAGAAAAAGAAAAAAGCATTATGCTCATGATGTTAGCTTTCAACAAGGTCTTGATACCTCGAGATTTCCTAATATGAAAAACACTGAACGTCCCTCAGGTCACACACTACCTACACAATAGGTGTGCAGTTTGGTGCTCCATAATTAGGTGTAGATAGATTAGGCAATCAACCAGCAAAGGCTGTAACTGGATGACAGGATCATGGACAAATCAAACAGGAAAAACAAATTATACTGGCGTTGCATGGTCACTTCTGATTGTGATTAGGCACAATTTGGAGTGTATTTCTAAATTGTGATTGCCTTCCTTCATGCAAGCTGCACAAGGAAGCCAATCACTGTCTAACATTTTGATCCCAATCTCAAAGGGTGTTTTGCTTAGTGGCTCCTTTGGTGACACACAAGTGGCCATTTTGAATGTTTGGCACTTAACATCATCACAACTAAATCGGACTGATGCTTGAAGTCACCAGAAGCGATACTGGAGCCTGACATCACTATAGTGGCACTGTGAGTGGGTGCATTGTGACAGTATCTACTTTGATGTCCAAAATGAAAAAAAACATGAGCATTGACCAAGCTTCACAAATGCTCAGAGCTGTGTCTATATTGCAGAGATTCATGTTGGTACCCCTTTAAACCATGCTGCAATACGAGGAGGAGGAAATGAAGGACAGGGAGGTTAGCCAGTTCCTAGATCAGCTGGTTACCCTGTGCTGAAGTAGGGGGAATAAAAGATGATAGAAAAGAGATGTAAGAAAATAGGACAACAGTATGGTTGAAGCCACTGCTCACAGTCTGTCTCTGAGACCATTCGCCCGCAAGAAGCGCAACAACGTTCTCAATACCTTGTGGGCCGAGGACAGTCTTGGCCAGTGTCCTAAGACCCTTTCTTCCGATGATTGGCGATTGTCAAGTCTATCTAGAACTTTCGAAAGTTCTTTTCTTGTCGCACTGAAGCGAGGACACTCACAGATCACTCATGCTGCATTAATTTCAAGCGAGATCTATTCGGCTGAACAGCAACCACTGTCAGCTGAACGCGGAGAGCATTGCAAATAATGCTTTGCTTCAAAAGGCATCGGTTCAGCTGGTACAGAGCAAATGAGCCAGGAATATTGTCGTAAGTCGCTCCAGTCACCAATTTTGTGCAATCTTACCTTCGGCCTGCTTGCGCATGAGTTCCTTGTGAGCTGCAACGGCCGCCGGAGAGTTGACTGCGAGTATAAAAAAACACCAACATCGGGACACTTTATTACACGACTGAGAGGCAGAGAAAGTCGGAAAACCGAGACGCGGTTTCCCGACTACAAAACTATAAAAAATTGAGCTGATGTCAATTACAACCTAAGAGAAAATATAAACTCCATCCACAGAACCGTGGATCGCATGACCTCGACCTGTGAAAGACAGTCGTGCTGGCTGGTTTTCAGTTGAACCGTAAGTATTCTTTTATCAACTAATGTAAATACTATGCGTATTATAAGTTAAAGGTGCACTTAAGTTAAACAATGAATTGGTTTAGGTTGATAAAGCGTGTTCGGAGAACTCTAATGTTGTTAATCTTACCACCATCATAAGTTTTTTTATAAGAGAAGAAAAGCAAGGTCAATGTAGCACTTTTAAGTTTTGTGCTGGAGCCGGTGCGCAAGATGTCACGAATTTCAAAGCGTGTTTATCGTATTTTGCTGACATTGGCTCAACGAAATTTCCCAAAACTTGGCAAGTCTCTGGCCCTATCTGTGGACAATGTACTTCATTCTTGCCTATTAGGAGCTACGTAGGCCTCAGTAAACACTGTCAAAATGTATGAAGTCTCGGCGTTTGGTGCAGGAATTTCAAGGTGGTGTCACCCTCTGCACTTCCTTTTTCGATACCTTTTTTGCTAACCAAGCATCTTGCGGCGAGCACAATGATTTAGGAATTGTGCGAGGGTAATTAACTAGCAACAGAAAAATCATAATGCTTAACCAAGCAGCTACGTCAGAATGCCTGATGAAATTTGCCAAGACATTCTGGTTTCCGGCCTAAAACCAGCTAAACGAACATGTCTGTATCGGGAAGCCAACTATATAAAACATTCGAGAAGGTGAACACACTTTTTTATGACACTGGAATGGCGTGCTCGGGATTAAAGTGACGTCATTTGTCAATAATACCCACTTTGAAAGAGCCCAAATTATAGGTAGCCTGCGTAAGACGTGATGAACGCAGCTTTTAAACGCACTGGATCTCCATGATGGCAGCTTTCATGACAAACAAGTTGTGGTTGGCCTGCTCTAATGTGATAACATGGCAGGAACACCTCTGTGCGTGAAGAACGAAAGAACCCTCATGTGATATTTTCATAATGTTAATGCGACATCGCAAACGTCGCGTCGTCCCGTGCCGGAGCTCCAACACTTCGACTTCAGTAACGTAAATGCAAGCTACAACCGCTTTACATGTGCACAAGTGTGGGCGTATCTGAAACTACTTGTTGGATGGACGGATCGATGTGGCTGTACCCTTTAGATCGGGTGGCGGCTAACGCCAGCTAATGCCATATAGCCGTAATACTTAGTGAACCACCAACTAGATTTATCTTTTTTTCCTTTAAATAGAGAGGTTTAGGATTCGTACTTTGCATTGAAGGGTTTTAATTTTCACTCGTGTCTTGACTTTAGCCACCAATCAGATAACCTCCTTCTAGTTAATTCTACCCGCTTAAAGTCTATTTTGCCCTCCCTGTCTTTAAACCCCAGTGCTTTGAAAAACTCTGCGCCATCATCCTGAATATAGGGTGAAGCCCTTTACAGAACATTATCAAGTGTTCGGCAGTTTCCTCTTCCTCTCCACACGCACTGCATACCGTGTCTACCCCTTCGTATTTGGCCCAATATGTCTTGGTTCGCAATACTCCTGTCTTGGCCTCAAACAGTAGAGAACTACCCCGAGTATTATCATAGATCCTTTCCTTTCACGGCGAACACAGCGCCGCAGTGAGCGAGAACGAGCTTTTTCAGCGTTTTACACGAGTGTGTTGAGCTCTGAAATCCGGCAGGTCATTTCATTACACGACGACCAATCACAGCTGATTACACGGAACCTCCGTGGGGGGTGCTGATTTGATAGACATGTGGGGTTTAACGTCCCCAAACCACCATGTGACTATGAGAGACGCCGTACAGTGGAGGGCTCCGTAAATTTCGACCACCTGAGGTTCTTTAACGTGCTGTGGGGGTGCTGAGGGCAACCAAGCCGGCAACCTCACTTACCGGCCTTGTGAATGGGATACACTATGAAGACCATGTAGACCACGAAGCCACCGCAGAGGAAGTATCTGACGAACCAGAAGTTCTGGAAGTGCCACTTGTAGGGGAACTGTGCGATCTTCGCCGATAACGTGTAGGGGTACTTCATGCGCCTGCCGTGTGCCCCGGCGGCAACCGTCTTCGCCGGAGACGCCGCCGATGTGGACTGCTGCCTGCGAGAGGATTGAGATGCGATGCTTAATAGAAAAAAGATTGGGTAACTAGGAGTGACACACAAGTGATTAACACAACCTCGCGAGTTCCCGTTTAGCAGCGGGAAACAACATGCGAAGTGTGCTACATGAAACTGCAAAGAATAGTTTTAAACTGAGACGCTTTATACCTGGATAGTCTGGCGACAGTACCGGCCACCAACCGCAAGGACTGCATCGTAGGTTTTAACGGTGTTCAACTTGTTAAGCAGAAGTTACAAGCAGCCAATGTGCTAACTCGAAGGACAAATGGAGGCCGCACGAAAGTTATCGAAACGTAACAGTAAATCATTCGAACTACTTGCTCTTTATTGATGCTGAAGGTTTCCGCAGTTTCTCGTCAGCGCTGCAAGCGAAAGCGATATTTATGATTTACAAAAAAATAAACATAAGTACTTTACAATAAAATTAATTCTGTACGGAGTTGCTATCTAAGTTCATAAAGCAAGTATATTCATAAGTTTGTTTTGCAACTCAAGCGTCTTATTTTGGCGCTGTGGAAGCGGACGCATTCCTGAACCGAACGCGTCAAACTTGCTCACTAAACGCGTTTTCACGACTTTAAAACCCTCAGTAATCGTAATGGCGGCTTCAGCTGACGGGCAAATAGTCAACTTTCTATGCTAGCCGAGTCGCGACCGTAAGCAGTTAAGCAAGTTTAAGCGCGCAATAAATGACAAGACATCGCGGGACGTGATGTCAATGCAACGGATGTCAGAATGTGTGACGTCTGCTGCTCGCTGCTAGAACTATTCGAGAAATGTAAGCGAGGCTCGCTTTTTTTCTCGCTCTCATTTTTTCCCCTATGGAGGGGGGTTAAGCCTACCGACTTTCCCCCGAAAATTGCTAGTTTATTGTCTGTGCATCGACGTTATTTGTGTGGACGTTAACGTTTGCCCGAGAGCGTCGCGATGACCGGCGCGTCCAAGGACTCGCAGGCGTCCGTCTCGACGCGCACAGGCGAAACCTCGGTGTGCCAGCGCGGAGAGCTGTTCTAACTCGTCTCTCTTGAACTCCACGCAGATGATGCCGAAAACTCGTGCGGCCAACGTTCACCACTCAACAAGAACGACATACTGGTGCTCTGCAGCTACGTGCAATCGTGGAACCAGAGGTAAAGTTTTTTTTTGTCCTTTGATCGTGGCATACTTCGTCGGCGCGACGGATGATGCTTACTCCCCCCCATGTTGCTCTAACTTAGTCGGATCGCGCGGCATCTCTGAACGTAACGTATTGAGTTGCACCGATCTAACAGACCGGGGTGTAATCAAGGGAATGGTAAACAACTGCATCGTTTTATCGGCCTTGCAAGGGCTTCCTGGGTCCACAAAGGCCGGAGCGGTACCCCTAATGAATGTCTCACGCACGTTGTGTGTTGTTGTTGCTTACCACGCGCGTCTAACTTTTTGTCACCCGCAACGCTTGCAATGAAAGCGAATACCTTCAACCCCCCTGCTCGTTTATGCTTTAACAGCCCGGCGTTCGACGTATATTGCGCGATCAATCGACTAAAAAGTTCGGTGCACAGTACACGATTACCGTGCGCTTACCGGATAGGGTTTTGTTGCTGTCTGAATCTGTTGGATGCTCCGCGATTAGCAACGCCTCCTCTACTTTTCGTTTTCTAATCGATAACACGTGCGCCCACTGGACGCGATTGTCGTTTCAGGCTCCGCAGCTGTCGTGGGTAAGGTCAAACGGCGCGTTAGTTGCAGGTGACCGCGTTATCTTGTGGTTCAGCCGTAGTTTTGTACCACTCACAGCCACAGACGAACCTGCGGGTCTAAAATCTGTCGGCTGGAAGCCGTCTGCATCTAAATGTTGACAGAATTTCATTCATAGCGTCTCTGTGTCTTGGGAGCAGTCCTAGCCCCCTGTCACGTTTCTTGCAGCTTTGGCGTGGATTCTCATGAGTGGATGCAGAGTTGCATTATGGGAGAGCTAGTAATAAATTTATCCTGAAGTAATTGCGCCGTGCAGTGAACACACGGAGCTCGCAAACCGCGCAAGAAAGTTTGTAGACTGCAGTAAAGGTGTATTTTATACATTGCTTTGACCTTCGGTAGGAAGTGTATTGCATCGACAGAGATATGTTTTAATACAATATTAAAAGAACATTGAAATAGTTGCGAACCGATTGCCCACACTGGTAAACTTGGTTCCCACGTCACAGTAGGAGTGTACATGCCATTTGAAAGTACAATTATTTTTTAAAATGTGCATGACATAATGGAAATAAATGTTACTGAATCAGACATGCTCACGTATGTAGGAAATTTCGTGCAATAATGATACAGTGTCATCGTTCAACTAGGAAGAGTTCCACCTGTATATGAAAGATAAAACTGCCTGCAAAAAACATGACATGCGAGTACATAAAAATGGGACCATACAACCGCTCCATACCTATTAAGGCTTCTGGAGCACTTCCAAAAGGCTTGTATGAGCAAAGTTGAACAGCTTTTAATTAACATGTGTCATTTGACAAAACAATTGCTTGTGCACTGTATTGTGTGTTTTTGTATATCTGTCACTTCATGTGGGAGCACGATTATTCCAAGATTAAGGGAATGGTCTTTGAAAGAAACAGCAACTGCATTAACATAGTTTTTCATTTTTAATGTGTAGAGCATTATGTCTATACCTGTTGTATGCCTCTGCGAGTGCTGCATTGTTGTATTTCACGTTGCTTGTGCTTCTGCTGTTGCTCATGTTGCCAGAATTCGCCATAGATTGGTTCAAGGCAGTTGAGGGGAAAAAGAATTTCCATTGAGTGAAAAGAAGAAATGTTTAAATGGAGAGATTTAGAGTTTAAATTAATTCAATGGCAGGAGCTGCGAATGGCAGTAGGAGAGCTGGCAGTTACAGGCTAGCTGGCAGTTACAGGCTGTGGTGTTTTGCCCAACTAAGTTGTGCGGGAAACACTTTCTCGTGTTATTGTTCTTGTTACTGCAAAAAGCACCACAAGAGTGCTGAAGCTGACGGTTATCTCGCTACCAGCACTTTACCTTTGCCCAGTGAAACATATCAATCATTGCAATATTATTAGTGTTGAGTGTTTCTGGTTGCACCAACCTAACAAGGCAGGATTTCAGGAGAAGATCGAGATTTCAGGAGATGAAAAATTCTTGAGCAGGGGTCTCAGTAGTGCCATTTCGACAAGTGGTGTTGTGTTTTTCAAAGCAGCCTTCTCCTTTGAAGGTGAATCAACTTGCCGAAACTTTGGCTTCACTGAGATTCCTGTTCAAGGATTTTTCATCTCTTGTTAAAGGGCCACTCACCAGGCCCTATACCAAATTTTAGTTAGACCGTGGAAATTGTTGCATGTCCGATGAGAAACATTCTGCCACAAAAGCTTGTGAATCGGTTCATTATGAGCTGAGAAAATTGTCTTTTTTTTTAAAGTGGCGCAAAACGAGGATGAGTGGAGGCGAGCTCGAAACCCTTGCCGCTTCTCCACGTAGCCTTCGCAAGCCAAATCTCTTCCCTATCCTCTCCGGCATCCGTCTAAGAGGTCACATGTGCATAACGTGCCCGAACAAGCCCAACCCCCTTAGACGCGAGTTTTTTTTTTTGTTGTTGACCAGCGTTGTTTTGAGGTCTACTTCCTCTTTCTGCGGGATGGTTTGAAAAGGCTTGCTTAGACGCGGCAGAATAGATGAGTGCGCAAATGCATACGAGTGTTCTATGGCTGTCGTCTGCTCGATGCGCTGACTGCGAGGACACGAACGCATGCGAAATGCCGGCACATTAGCCCCAAATGTCGTTGCAATTCATGGGGGTGGGGGGAAATAAAGAATAAGAACACACATTTTCATATTGCGCCTCAATATTTATCACGAGATTTATTAATCTCTTCTAGCAACAAATACACAAACTATGCATATCGTGCTTAATAATTTTCTCCATGTCACGTGCCACTGTAGGCAACGTCAGAGCACAGTCGTCCATGTAGAGGACCATTGTCACTGCATTCCTGTGTACGTAGGGCTATTCATACGCACACTTCATGCCCTCATTCTCTGGGCGCGCCCCCGAAAAAGGAAGGGGGTGCAGCGTTCATCTTGAAATTTGACCCATTTGCTCGGCGCGTAGCGTTGCGAATTTTGGCAGATGTGATCGTGAACGCCACATCTACGCGTTGCGCTCGTCAGTTCAAAATTGTCAAACCTGGTGAGCGGCCCTTTAAGCCTACGCACCATCAAATGTCAGGTGGGTCATCAGACTATGAAATGCGCTGGGCTCGCTGTATTGTGAAAGGAAGCCATCATTCTAATCTGGACAAGTTTCTTGTCCTTGTTGAAGGTTGAGAGCGAGAAACAAGCGGCATCAGGCAGGGAGGTCACGTGGATGCGAAGTCAATTTTTGATACTGCGCCCTGGGCGGAAGGGATAAAGGAGCAAAAAAATAACAGTAGAGAGAGACCCAGAGAGCGCTGACCAGGAGAGCACATGCTAGGAGGAGCACAGAAAGTCTACAAGCAGTGGCAGAGACCTGTTAGCTTTTGGTACATTAGCAATGCCTCGGCTGCCCTCTGCAACTTAGGTACCCTTGGCCGTGGTCCTATAATTTTGATTGATGGGTGTGGTCTCGAGTCTATTCAATTAACTACCATCCAGAGAGGGTATCACTGGGTGTCGTACGAGCATAAATGCACAAGATGTGTATAGTGGTCACTTTGGTTCCGTGGAAGTCGCATCTAGATGTGCTAGCCATTCCAAAGTGAAGTCGACATGTAAATACAGTACTCATGCATGAGCGGCCTCCCCCTTTTTTTAACGATTTTGTTTCACATGTTAGTTACTTTGGATGTAGTGTGGAGTGGGGGGGCAGTGATTGCAGTTAATCAGGGATGAAAACAAAGTTAGAAAGAACGTTGCAGGGGGTTGCTAAGAAAATTATCACGAGATGAGAAGACAGAAGTGTTTTTTATCCTGGCTAGGTTGTTGTGTTCGAGGGGTGTTCAAATGGGTGTTGCCGAGTTGTGTCTAAGGCCAACCGAGAGTACGCAACATCATCACGCTTGTGCAGTGGATGAACCATTTGAACGTGGTTTCCTGCTCTTTGAGTTGGGACTTCCCCTTTTGCTTCGGGGATTCCCCCTTTTTTCGTGGCAAATGCTGGGACATTGCGGAGCACGCACTGGGTGTCGCTGCAGCGGTGTATAAGTTCCGGTGGGAAGGTCATGTGATTTCCTGACACTGCTATTGCGCCAGGCATGGGCTTTTGCCAGCCTAGTCAAGAATGCGCTCTCCGGTCACAATACGCTGGCCGGTCTCGTGATAATTGTT